GACATCTGTGCGCACACCAGAAGGGTAATCTCTGCAACCATTTCACCAACATATCGCAAGTGCGATGTAAGCTGGGATGCTGCGCGCGTGGTGAGGGGGAGGAGGAAAGTACATGCTGCAGATGCCGAGGTCGAACTGCTTGCTCTTTACTCTGATGGCCAGGCCACGCCCAGCCGCTGCTTGAGGAGCCGTCCAGACGCCGACGACATTCCTGCGGGGGATACGTGGGCCCAGGATGATGGCGCATCCAGCGGATTTGTTTGAGTAGGGTCCTCGCTTCCAACCGTGTGAAACACACCAGCGTTTGGGCCCAGCTCGTCTCCATTGCGCAACCTCCTGTCCCTGCTGCTGTTCTGCTGTACCATTCAAACAAACGAAATCCATATTTCCTGTGTTGTGGGCGATCTCATGCAATCTCGTCGGGCTGCTGGATGAAAGAGGATTATATTGCAAGATCGAGACGTGCTGCATCGTAGACAAGGCCAGCGGCCGCCGTTGTACTGTTCGCCGATGCACTAGTGAGATGCAATGCAACTTTAGCAGAACATGACACAATTGTGAAGTGCGAAGGGGGCTGGTAGGCTGCATTGAAGGATGGGTGGATGAAAGGGGTGCCCGAGCCAGAGCACTTAGGAGGAGGAGGAGGAGGAGGAGAGGAGGAGGAGGAGGATGAGGGGAGGAGAGGGAGTAGGAGGTGGAGGAAGAGGAGAGGAGGAGGAGGAGGAGGAGGAGGAAGGAGGAGGAGGAAGAGGAGGAGGGAGGAGAGTAGGAGGAGGAGGGGGAGGAGAAGGAGAGGCGGGGGAGGAGGAGGAGGAGGAGTAGAGAAGGAGGAGAGGAGGAGGAGGAGGGGCGGAGAGGAGGAGGAGGAGGAGGAGGAGGAGAGAAAAGGGGAGCCTTTCCGCGGCCTCTGCGGGGGGCTCTCGTTGCCACGGTCGGGTCCGCTTCGAGATCCTGGTCAGAGCGTGCTCTGGGCTTTCCTCCTCCGCCTCCTCCTCCTCTTCCTCCTGTTCCTCCTCCTCCTCCTCCTCCTCCTCCTCCTCCTCCTCCTCCTCCACCTGTCCTTCCAGGGGCGGCGAGGTGAGCGTATCAGGGGCGGCCTAACGTCCAAGATGAAACACGGCGTAACTATAAACTGTTTGCGCTTCGCGCGGATCTCCAAAAGTTTATGTTTATGCCGTCTTTTCTTCTTCTAAGATTGGGTGAGGTGAGTGTATCAAGGGCGGCCCAACGGACCCCTAGCAAACCGTGACGTCCCAAGACGGATGGGTGCGGCTGGATGGAGTTCGAAAGGCGAGGTTGACTTCACGGAAGGGGATGGTTTGCTAGGGGTTGGTTAGGCCGCGCCCGAGTGTAGGTGGTGTTCTGTTTGGGTGGAGGGCGGATCAGGGTGAGGTCCGACGCGCCGTCTCGATGGATCTTCGAGGCTCGAGTCTGCAGAGGGTGAATCACAAGAGGGATTGATCTTCGAGGCGCAGACGCCCGCGTGGATTCCGCCCCGAGCCCTCCGGCCCAAGAAACATGCCCAGGGCCTCCGCTCGCGGCCCGCTCCCGCTCCCGCTCCGCGAGGCGAGGACCGGCAGCGGCGCGAACGGAGCAGTGGGAAGCCGACCCCGGCCTCAAGTCGGGCCCGTCCCTCTACAGGGGGAATCTTCAAAAATAGTTGAAACATGGTCCGGGGACGATTTTTTGTTTAGCATGTTTGGGCATTCTTTGTGCATGTTCGGGGCAATGTTTATTTGTCGTCCAAAATCCGCCTGCAGGAGGACATGCCCGACCTAATCCCAGCCCCCACAGCAGTGGATTCGACGTGTCAGCGCATTGCAAGTATGGCAGATGTGCGCGCTTGCAGGCGCCCTGTCAGCGAGGCCATTGCCAGCCGCCGCGGGGGGGGGCCCGCGCGCGCGGTCTGGTTGGTCTAAAAATCCTCATGTGGGAGGCGGAGGGCGGTTTTCAGGCGTTCACGCACGGCAGCTTGCGGAGCTCCCCCGCGCGGACCTCCAAAGGTCTGTGATGACGGCCAGGAGCTCTGGCTCAGCGTGTCGCGCCGCCGGTTCTGGCCCACCACGCTTTGGCGCGACTCGCTGTCCACGTCCCCGTCTCCGAGCGTCAATTTCCCCGAGCCTTTCCCGGCCTCCCGCTCCGCGGAGCGGAGCGACACGGTGTCAGCTCGCAGGGCACAGCGTGTCGCCGCCCGCGCCGCCGCCACGGCACGATGAGCAAACTCGAGCAGTGGCGAAGCGTTCTGGTTTGCCTATAGGCCCACCAAAGAATGTTCTAATCATCGATTGTGGTCTGCTCGAAATGTTCTTAGAACATTTCTGGCTGAGGTAGTCTTTTGGAACGCATCGGGCGCATGATCTAAGAGCATTGTTTTTGTTATTAGAACAATTTGGGGGGTCTGAAAACATTTCGTGGTTGGTTTATTGGAATGCCAGGACGGTCGGTCCCTGCTCAACAAAGGTTCCCGACCGTGCCTCCGCTCGGGCATCCGACAAGCCTGCCCATGCTCCTCTCCTCGACTCCTCCTTCTCCTCCTCCTCCTCCTCCTCCTCCTCCTCCTCCTCCTCCTCCTCCTCCCCCTCTCTTAGGCAAGCTGTCGAGCCCCGCACGATACCCTGCGCTTGAACAAAAGGTCCTAGAGGTCCTCCTCTTCCTCCTCGTCCCTCTCCTCCTCCCGCTCCTCTCCTCCTCCTCCTGTCCTCCTCCTTCTCCTCTCTCCTCCCTCCTCCTCCTCCTCCTCTCCCTCCCTCTCCTCTTCCTCCTCCTCTCCTCCTACTCCCCCTCATCTCTCTCCTCCTTCCTCCTCTCTCTCCTCTCCCCCTTCCTCCCCGTCGTCGTCGTCGTCCTCCTCTCCTCATCCGCCTCCTCCTCCTCCTCCTCCTCCTCCTCCTCCTCCTCCCTCCCCTCCCCCTCCCCTCCCCCTCCCCAATCCCCATCCCCCCCCCTCCCCCTCCCCGTCCTCCTCCCCATCACCCCTGTCTCCTCCTCCTCCTCCTCCCTCCCTCACCCTCCTCATCTCCTCCTCCTCTCTCCTCCTCTCCCTCCCCCCATTCCTCCCCGTCGTCGTCGTCCCTCCTCTCCTCCTCCTCTCCTCCTCTCCCTCCTCCCTTCCCCGTCCCCCCATCTCCTTCCCCCCTCCCCTCCCCTCACATCCCCACCCCTCCCTCCCCGTCCCCCGCCTCCCCCCTCCCCCTTTCTCCTCCTCCTCCCCTCTCCTCCTCCTCTCCGCCTCCTCTCCCCTCTCCTCCTCCTCCCCCCCTTCCTCCCCGTCGTGTTCGTCGTCGTCGTCGTCCTCCTCCTCCTCCTCCCCTCCTCCTCCTCCTCCTCCTCTCCTCCTCCTCCCCTCCCCCTCCCCTCCCCTCCCCCCCCTCCCCATCCCCCCCCCTCCCCCTCCCCGTCCCCCTCCTCCCCCATCCCCCTTTCTCCTCTTCCTCCTCTCCCCTCCTCCTCCTCCTCCTCCTCTCTCCTCCTCCTCCTCCTCCTCCCCCCTCCCCCTTCCCCCCGTCGTCGTCGTCCTCCTCTCTCCTCCTCCTCTTACTCCTCCTCCTCCTCCTCTCCTCCTCCTCCTCCTCCCATCCCCTCCCCTCCCCCTCCCCCTCCCCCTCCCATCCCCCCCCTCCCCTCCCCGTCCCCCTCCTCCCCCATCACCCTTCCTAGCTCCTCCTCCTCCTCCTCCTCCTCCTCCTCCTCCTTCTCCTCCTGCAGGCTGCGCTGGGCTCTGCTCCTCCGGCCTCCGAAAGGTGGGGGGGAGGGGGCGCCTCCGCGCCGACTCTCGGAGGTGGGGCGGCGCGGGCCCGGGGCGGCCGAGAGCACCTTTTGCTGACCTAGGCCTCCGCTGGATGGGTCGAGGCTTCCCCGGGGCACTTCCTCAGCGCCCCTGGTTTGATTTGTCTCCTCCTCCTTCTCCTCCTCCTCCTCATCCCTTCTTCCCTCCTCCTCGTCCTCCTCCTCCTCCCCTCCTCTCCTCCTCCTCCTCCTCCTCCTTCTCTTTCCTCCTCCTCCTCCTCCTTCTCCTCCTCCTCCTCCTCTGCTGGATGCGTCGAGGCTTTCCCGGAGCCTTTCCTCAGCGCCCCTAGTTCCATTAGTTTCCTCCTCCCCCCCTCTGTGCCATTCGAAGAAGATGGAAAACAAAAACATGAATATAAACTGTTGGCGCTCCGCGCGGAGCGCCAACAGTTTCTGTGTATGTGGTTTTGTCTTCTTCTTTTTAATGTGTTTCCTGCTCCCCCCTCTGTGCCATTCATTCGTCTGTTTTTCTGTCCTTGCCTGCGCGATGCTTTCCCCCAGTCGCAATCATGTCCGCATTCATATTCCTGGTGCCTCCGCGCAAGCCTTCGAAGCAAGGCTGAGGGTCCAATCCAGGCGTCATCGCTCTATCGCTAAGGCTTAGCAGAACCTGGGGATTCAAATTGGGGCTGCATCATCAGCCGCATCATCATTGTCGTCATCATCTTCATCATCATTGTCACCAGCATCACCAGCACCATCGACAATCTCATCCTCCTTCTCCTCCTCCTCCTCCTCATCATCATCGTCATCAGTTTCATCGTCATCATCAGCATCATCATCACCATCCTCATCCTCATCCTCCTCCTCCTCATCGTCGTCGTCATCATCATCATCATCATCATCATCATCATCATCATCATCACACACATGTTGATCATGATATTCCTCGGCATCTTCAACATCACTATCAGCATGACCACTACCACCTGTTCCTACATAGCTGTATTCACACACATAAGCACTTACATGCTATTTATCTACATAACCATCATCACAGTCACCAGCATATTACTCCTGATTGCATCCCTCGGCATCACCATCGTCGTATTCCTCGTAGTCATTCCCGCCACCGTCACCATCATGTTCTTCACAGCCGTCGTCATCATCCTAATAGCCATCGCCCTCGCCTTCATCGTCGTCACATTAGTCATCGTCGCCATCATTCCCATCGTCGCTCTGTGCGAGCTTCCTATGCGGCTGTTCTGTCGGCCCGAGCCGTCCCGACGTGGCCCTGGCAGCCAGGGGCTCCGTGCGGCACACGCGTCTGGCGGCGCCGCGGCCAGCGGCCCGTCGATGTGCTCGTTCCTGGTCGAACGTCGTCTTCGTCGTCGCCCTTCCTCCGTCCTGCTCCTCCTCTTCCTCCTGCTGCTCCCTCATCAACCTCCTTGCCCCTCCTCCTCTTACTCCCCCCTCCTTTCCTCACTCCTTCCCTCACTTCCGCCCAGTCCTCCTCATCCTCCTCCTCACCTGACAACTGCAAAATCTAGACAAGCCGGGGCGACTTTGCACACAGAGGCGATGGTATGCTGTCAAAGGGCTTCTCGGTCGAAGTATGGAAGCTGGGTGAGTGCTTGGAACTCTTGGGCACGAGCGCTTCCTTGGAAGACCCGACATGCATGAACACTCAGAATCGCATCGCGTGCTGGTGGAAAAAGTTCTGGGCTGTGAAACTGTTGTTGTTGTTGAATGTGAGTTTGTACGCGTTTTCCTCAGAACAGGAGGCCTTCGGACAACACGTCTCAGAGCTCCGTCCTAGACTGTGCATCCGTAGTCGCTCCTTTTTTCTCGAGAGGGCCCGTCGGGCCGACGCTGCTGGCAACCACGCGTATCCCACAGGACCTGCACTTCCTTTACTCTGTTCTGCGTGATCTGGTGGCCCTCAACGCGCCGGCCAGCGAGCCGGTCTGCCACTGTCATTTTGAGGGGAACCAGTGCGAGCCGCTGTCCGACACAGGTTGTGGTCACATCGAGCGTATCTTGACACGTCAGCTAGAGTCAGTTCAGTCCCAGCTGAGCGCGTCGGTGACAGTGAGTTTTTGCATCAGCCTCACCTTCAGCATCGGTTGCACTGGGTTCGTCATAGGATTACTTGTGGGTCGGTGCTCACATCGTCGAGCAGCGACTGTGGTGCAGCCTACGTCTACCTTCGAGCAGTCCCAGGTGGCTCGCGCCAGAGGTGGTCCAGCTACTCCCTCCTCCATCGTCTCGCAGATAAACAATGAGTGCCTTGGATATCAAAGAAAGGCAGATCTTGGTTCGGTACGATGATGATCAAACTTTTACTTGGCATCACCGAGTATTGCTTGTTCGGATCTCGTCAGGCAGGTGGGTGGTGCTCACGCCGACAGGCGACTTGCAGATCTTGGACACCGCGACGGTCAGGTTCGAGCCTCTGGCTCGAGGGAGGCCCGTCCCCGATCGGTGTCGCAACGACTGTTTTCTGTTCGACCCGATCCCCGTCAGGGAGCTCAGCGAGGCCATCGCAAGGGCGAAGGTGCTCGCCGATATCGCGGGGGAGGACATCGAGGTGGACGACGCCGAGGTGTGGGTGGTCTCCGACACCGCGCGCCCCCGGTTCGGCGAGCAGGTGGAGCCCGGCCTCCTGGATGACGCTGGGCGCGCGCTGCTTCGGGAGACCAAGGGTGTGGTGCAGCTCGACGCGAATGACACGACGTCGGAGGTGCACGTGGAGCGAGTCAACCAGAACGACCTGGCGAACTGGAAGAGCAGGGTCGGCGGGGGGGGCGATATCCGACTTCTCGGCACCTTCCGCACGGCTGGCGGCAAGCGGTTCTTGCAGGCCAAGGACTCCGTGGGTAAGCTCGAGGAGACCAAGCTCGACGACTTTCCCTTCGCCGACCCCCGCGCGGTCAAGGAGTACCTGGACGGGATCCTCGAGACCACCGACGGCTCCTTCGATAGCTATCATCAGAACTGGTGTGTGGCAGCAGGGGTCTCGCCCAACAGTGGGATCGCACATGATCACCGCATCATCCTGGAGGCGCTACGCTTGGGCCTCACGTATGACCAGTACAACTTGGCAAACTCGGCCATGGGTGAGCAGCTCGTCAGGCGGCTCATCCAGCACGAGCTCGCGGTGGAGAAGGACGCGAGACATCCGGACTACAGCGGGCTCGGGTACATGTTGGCGGGCTCGACCGAGGACAAAGGCCGTGTGGCTGTGCCCAAGTTCACCAAGTGGATCGCCGAGAAGCAGCACCAGCGGGCTTTCACCCTCAAGCAGTCCCGTCTGCTTCGTGAAGAGCGGGCGGCTGAGGACAAGCGACGCGGCGGCCCCAAGGGGCCCAAGGGCGCATCGAAGGGGAACAAGGGCGGCGTCGCCGACGGCGGCGGGGGGGGGCAGGGCTAGCGCCCCGCTCTGCCCGCGCGGGGCCGAGTACCTGGTCGGCCTCGCTGGCACATATTTCTCACAGGTAGGAGCCTCGAGTCTGTTGCTTCGGGCTCCGAGTTTTGTTCGCCGTGGTCGAGATGATCATGGTCGGCGGCGGCATGGTGATCCTCTCCCTCTGCCTGTTCGCTTGGTGAAGGGCTCCTCCGGGGGCTCCGGACGCCGGAGGCGGGGAATGCGTGGGCAGCCTGGGCATCAGGACCAGCGTCTTGTGGAGTCCGTTCGCTCGCTCAACTTCCTGTGCCGCGCCAGAGTATGTCCAGACGTTGACTGCCTATACCGAGGCAGCCCGGGCAAGGCCTCTTCTTCTCAGATGTCGATCTTGGAATCCCTGGATGATCGCATCTCGCTCTACGGCAGTCGGCCGCGAGACCTGGCCCCGCTGAGCGCACTCAACGAAGTGTGTAAAGCGAAAGACCTGTACACGCAGGAGCCACAACATATGGCGCCGTACCTTCCCGACAAGCTGAAGGTGACGAAGGGTGCCACTCTCCCTCTTCCTCTAGAGTCCGTGCTCCCTCCAGACGCGCTGCGGCTGGCGACGGACTTCAGAAAACGCGTTTTGAAGAGTGATGGCGAGCTCGAGGCAGACCGTTTGAGAGGCGTCTCTGTCACCCCTTACTGGTGCCCGGACCTGCGGCGCTCAAAGCAGCGCCGTCGTGAGTTGTTCGCCACCCTGTACGACCGACAGCTCATCACCTTCAGGCGGCGCATCTTCTCGAGAGTCTCTATATTCTTTGTTTGGAAGAAGACTGGGATGACCAGGCTGATCGTAGACGCCCGCTCGACCAACGAGAAGTGCAAGACGCCTCCTCACACGGACCTGGGCACGATCGCCGCCTTGGCGGACGTGGACCTCAGCCTGGCGGAGCTTTCTGACATCGCCGATGCCGAGCTGAGTGCCGAGGAGGAGGCTGAGCTTTTCAAGGGACAGGGTGGACTTTTCTCGCTGCCCTTCTCCGGGAGCTCTCTGGACGTGGTCGACGGCTTCTACCAGTTTGGCAACTGGCGCATGGCTAGCTGGTTCGGGATGGATGATCCGGACGAGGCCGGCGTCTATGGAGTCACTGAGGTCTGGGACGACGATCTTGAGGAGATGGTGCCGCTGCAGCCCACCGACATCGTGTACCCCTGCCTCAGAGCGCTGAGCATGGGTTTTACGTGGGCCCTTTACTTCTGTCATTCAGCTGTGGAGCATATCGTTGCTGCAGGGGTCCCAGGAGGCGTCTCTCGAGCCGCTCGGGAGAAGCATCGGGCGCCACGGGCGTCCATTGCGAGCCCGATCACCTCGACCTACGTGGACAACGCTGCCTTGCTGTCTGCTAATACTGACACTTCAGATGTGCATAACGTTCTTCATGAGCTCTCTGCACGTGGCATGCGCACACACGACATAGTGGAGCACACCTTCTCGCTAGAGCACTTGGGCGCCATCTTCGACGGGCATCGGCGGCTGTTGCACCATCAGCCCCGCCGAGTGTGGCGCGTCTATCTGGCCGGCAAAGAGCTGCTCCGACGTCGACGGCTTCGAGGGGAAGTCCTCCGCGTCTGGGTGGGCCACGTGGTCCACCTCTTCATGCTCAACAGGCCGGCGTTATCCAGTCTGTGGGCAGTCTACCAGTTTATTCAGCACTCGCTGGAGCGGCGCTGCCGGGTGTGGGGCTCGGTGCGTCAGGAGATCAAGGTGATCCTCGGTCTCGTCTTCCTCTGCCAGCGTGATCTGGGAGCCCCGCGGCTGCGCATGGCCTACTGCTCGGACTCTTCGGATCTGGGCTACTGTCTGGCCGTCACGAGCGCCTCGGACGCGGAGCTCAGAGAGGCGGCAGCCTATCACGAACGCTGGCGCTTCATCGAGGATCGGTCCGACCCGAGCTGCGAGTTGGTCCCCTACCTCGAGCTCTGCGACAGTGCTGGCCTCTCGCCCCTGGGGGGGCTCGCCCGAGCCGTGGCGGGATGGCCGTGGGTCGCCCGAGGTGATCGCGCCTCCCCGGCCTCCAACTCAGCTGGGGCGCCAACACCGCAGGGGGAGCGACAGGCTGGCCCCTGGCGGGGTTAGGCGCGCACTTCGAGAGCGAGTCCTGCGGGGGGACCCTCAGCGGGTGCCGGCACTTGGCGCCAACTGGGGCCCGCCCGAGCGTTGGAAGACCCTCTTCGAGCGGAAGTGGGACGACCCCTCAGAGCACATCAACACCAAAGAGGGCAGGGTGATGCTGACTGGGCTGCGGCGTGCTTGTCGCAACCCGCGCTGCCACAGGAAGCGGCTCCTCTCTCTCTCTCTCCGATAGCTTGGTCGCCTGTTGCGCCTTCGATCATGGGCGTGGGCGAGGCGCGGAGAAGACCAACTGGGGCCTGCGATATCTTGGTCAGCGAGCCGCAGCTTTGCAGATTGCCTGTGATGTGCAGTGGGCGACCCGGCACCTCGAGGGAGTCCGCAACCCGACGGGCGCGGGCTCTCGCCGTTTTGATCGAGGTGCCGACCCGACGGAGAAGGCGCGCAACCTCAGCCTGGAGCGGGGCGGTCAGGACATGGCAATCGTCCGGGCCGCCAGTAGAGTCCGTCCGACGGGCGGAGCATCGGGCGCCTTGGCCCGCCTGCTGCACTTGCCAGAAGACGGTGTTGCACGAGTGGCACCCGCTGCCCGGAAGAAAAAACAAACACACTTTGCCGTGCCTCACGATCCTCCTGCAGGTGCTTGTGCTTCAACTTCTGCCTGCTCCTCCAGGGCCTGGGCCCCCTCTCCGTATACCTCGGCAAGCCTCCCCGCAGGCTCCTCTGTGGCTGGTGCTACTTGGGCCTCGTCGGGTTGTCCCTCTTCATCGGGAACGGCGCCCTGCAGGACCTCTACGGGGCCTTCTACTGGTACCTCCAGGGCCTCAACGTGTCCGGCGGCTCCCTGCA